GGGGGGGCGATCGAGGCATGGTGCCAAGACTTGACTTGTCTTCTCGTCGAAACGGACCTGCAGTTTCTAATGGCGCGTGGTGGGCTTGGCGCTCTTTGTTCCTCGCCCTCCTACCTATCCGCTCCATCATGAACAACTCGAATTCGCCTACTATGCAGGCAATAGAGAAGTTGACCTGGACAACATGGAAATCGTGGTATCTGCAATGCACGATCGTGTAGAGTTGCGTTTTCTGCATGGCTCGACGTTCAAGGCTCGCATGTTGTGAGCTCCAGTGACAGTGTTCGGCCCTCGCCAATTCGCTCGACACGAGTCGCCGCTCCCTGGTATGTGAGCAGCGGAATCGTTCCCTCGGACAACGCAATGAAACCAAAGCAACAATCAAGGGAATTCAAGGGAGTTGACGTGGGGCTTGGGGATGCTGAGCATCGGCCACGTGCGCGAATTCGCGGTGGTTTCAAGGGAATGGCCTCGTGTGTAGCAGTTGACAGCATTTCACGCTATTGTCGTGTCGGCGAGGTGCTGCTGCGTTGCTCAGGAAAGCAGCTCAAAAGTAGGGCCCAGTGTCTGGCATGTTCACGTTGGTTTTTCTATGGCGTTTTGCCTCAGACTTGCGGATGGAGAGTCGACATGCCATGTCGTTGGACTACTGCACACGACATGTTACTCTCATGTGTGATGGAGAACCAAGCTTCCCGCCGCAGGTTGTCCAGTGATGCATTGTACTGCACGGTTATGTCCTGTGCAGAGACAGATATCTTGATCTCGCGTCGACCGTCATCGTACTGCACGTCTCCCCCACGTTTGTCCACGACTGGTTGTCTCGTCGTCGGACTCTTGGCCCCTGTCGCGATAGGACGGACGACAGGCAACGTCGGCCGCAACGACACCGCATCGAGTTTGTCGGTGGCGGACTTGTAGGCATGTCCCTATGCGGCCGTTCTCGCCATGAAGGGTGTCACCAGCAGCACCATCCTGAAACGATCGGGCGAAAGTGGCGGCATTGTCCAACACAACTTGGATCCCTTCCGATACCCCACGGACTCGACAGTGTTACCAGCCCAGGTTGGACCTGCTCAAGGAGTTCGACCCCATCGACAAACTCGTTCCGTTCAACCCACGATGTTGGGTTCTTGAATATTGATAAAACACCACGTTGCGATTCATGGCATGCAAGGCGTCGTCATCGACATGATCCGTCGGCAATGGATTGACATTGGACCACCTAAGTCGATGTCTTGCGCCTTTCCTCGATGAAAAAATGTCGGTGCGGCTATCCAGACTGCAAGACAAGGGCCCCAACTCGGCCCAACGCATGACAAGCGTGAATTCCGCGTTGAGGCAAACAACATTAGCAGTCACACGTTCATCTTTGGCGTGTACGACGTCGGCCTGCCGCCTTGGTGACCTACAATCGTGTAGGTGCCGTGCAAATGTTGAGTATGAAGTATATGCCGTGCCAAACACTCCAGATCGTTCGCCTCAAGTTTGGACACAGCTTGTTCTTGCGAGGCCCTTCCATTTGTCCATCTCGATCGCTATACACAGCAGCCTGGCTATGACCCACGCTGCATCCAAGCAACGCCACGAATGAACTTGACGACAAAGCAAACTCCAGGACATCGTTTTCACC